AAATTTTGATCAAGAATTTGTAGGTTTACTAGCATTATATATTGAGAAGCGATTTGCTGTGGTGGAAAAATGCCGAAGATGTTGAAGAATCTGATGCAAGCGAAATAGATTCAGCAGAAGAAGATCGTAAGTATTTTTTTGCCAAGTTTCGATGAATATGTATTGAGCTTTAATATTTATTTATTATGTAGAAGAAGAATTGGACAAATTATTTTCGAGACAAAGAGAATTGACAGCTGAAGTGGCAAAATTAGAAACCAACTTAAATAAGAAACTTTCTGATCTAAGAGGAGAGATTAACGCTGTCATGCAGGTCCGATTTTTATTGTTTTAATCGCGTTCTTCAATTTCTATGTCTAATACATTTTAATTGTAAATGAAATAGGGTCGAATCCAAAATCAAGTTAATACATTGTTAATAGAAATAGAGCAGAAGAAAGCTTTGTATGCAGAGGCAGCACAGAGAGTAACAGATATTAAAGAAAAGATGGAATCAAAAGTTGAAGCTTTACTTGCAAATGCAGATAATATAGTATAATTAACCCATCGGCAAAACTTCTAGAAACGTCATCATTAGATTTATCATATAATTAAAATACAACTTGCTACACAATTTACGTTACCATAAAATCTTGAAATAGTGGGTATGGGCGTTATTGAATTGTAGCCCAAAGTAAACTTAATTTGTTCCATAACTCAAAATGACCCCCATACCCGTTATTTCGAGATATTACGGTACACATCATTTTTCAATTAATTTTAATTATTAATTAATATGTTATTCATAGATTTGAAAATGTACATCGTTTTGCAATCGAGATCCATCTATATGGATATTTTTAATTTGATTAAAATTATAATTTTTCAAAAAATATGAATTGACCAATATAAATTGGCCTTTTTTTATTAAATGTTATGATTTTTCGCATTCACAGCCAACCGTATATTACTGGCCAAATCGACCTTTATCATCGACGGATTCGGCATTTTTCCACCACAGCAAATCGCTTCTCAATATATAATGCTAGTAAACCTACAAATTCTTGATCAAAATTT